CGGAAAACAAAAAGATATTTACATTACAATTCATAACAGTAGCAAAATTACAGTTATAGAGTAGCAACGAAAATAATTTGATGGTTGGGGGTCACAACATGAGGAACTGTATTAAGGGGTCACGGCATTAGGAAGGTTGAGAACCGCTGCTTTAGAGCATCAAAGGTAAAGACGGCCGGCCGAGAGGCGTGTTGGTTAGGAACTGGCTTGGGATGCCAGCTCTGAGCAGCAGGGCCCCGGTTCAGATTCCCACATGAGGGCCAGTGACACTGCGCCCTCTACAGATAAGATGGTGAACAACAGGTTGACCTGAAGCTGGGCTGCTGTGAGTCACCGGCGACGGTGTAGGCTGCAGCCCCTTCTGCAGTGGGTTGCCATAAGCTACTGTGTATGGCTGGCAGCCAGCGTGAGCGGCCAGCAGCCTGCCATCCAGAAGCCAGCAACCGATCTGCCTCACCAGGGAAGAGCACAATGATAATACCAACATGGGCCAGTGAAGCAACGTCCTCCACAACTAGACTGAAGAACAAAAGGACAGCAACTTGTCTGTTCCCCTCCCGCAACTCCCCAATAAAAAAATCTTTAAAAAAAGAAAATACCTGGGTAGTTCACTGTGACTGAGAGGGAGGGGAAGAAGGGAGAGGGAACACATATCTATGACAACCTTGAACCGAAACACAGGATATGAACACGGCTGGAGAGTGGGAGATGGAAGAATAGGACGCAGAGGAGAGACCAGAAGATGAGAGATTGCACAAGGGTTCTTTTCCTGTCTTGGGAGAAGATGTAGATATAAGTTAAATAAACGGATAGAAAAAAAATCAAGCATAAGCCTTGGTCTAAGTTAGAGGCAACCAGCAGAAGAATAAAATTAGAATGCATGAACTTAAAAAAAAAAAATAAAAACAACAAGAAAATTCAGTGTATGCCATCAAAGGCAGAAACGGGAGAAAAAGAAAAGCCCAAGAAAATGGAAGGTGGAAAATGTAAAACGAGATAGGAATAAGTCCAAATATAAAATAATTACAATAAATATAAATATGTTGAGCTCTCTAGTCGAAGTTAAGACTCTTGGATTTGGGTGAGGGGGAAGAGGAGATCCAATGATATGTTTTCCTCAAGAAACACATTTACAGCATAAAGATAAAAACTAAAACCACAAAGAATGAAATTCTATACATGAGGAAAATCTGTTACAAAAAGTAACATGGGGCCACGAAGGAAGTCTCAGCAAATTTCAAAGGACTTAAATAATGCAGACAAGGTTTTGACATGATAATGCAATTAAGGTAAAAATCAGTAACAATGGGGATGGAGGTTCCTTGTCGGGTGATGAAAATGTTTTGGAACTAGATAGAGGCGATAATTGCACAACACTGTGAATGTACTAAACGCCACTGAATTGTACATTTTCTTTAAAGAAAAATAGTTAACATGGTACATTTTATGTTTTTCATGTGTATTTTACTACAATTTAAAAAAACTCAATAGCAAAAAAATACCGAGGAAACCCCATGTTAATAAAATAATACTCTTCTAAATAACTGATAAGGAGGAAGCACAAAGCAACTCAGAAAACTGACTGATAATGACAATATAACATATCAAAATTTATGTAATAAAGCTAAAGCCATGTTTGGAGGGAAATGTAGAACTTTAAATTCATTTATTAAAAAAAAGACTGGAAAAAAAATCAATGAACATTCATCCCAGGAAGTTTTGAAAAGAACAGCACATTGAATTCCCAAAAGTAGAAGGAAACAATATAACTATCAAATCAAATTCATTTTAAAAACGCAACACTGGAGATGTAATTGTACAGCATGGCGACTATAATACTACTGTATTGCATATTGGAAAGTTGCTAAGAGAGTAGATCTTAAAAGTTATCACAAGACAAAAAAAATCTGTAATCGCAGAGGGTGCCAAAAAAATGGATACACATTTTAAGAAAGGGAAAACTATTAAAATCGTAATACTCAATGTATACCGATAACAAAAGATGAATACAAATCACGTTTGACTCCTGCAATTACAAAGGGTGCTCAAGGTGGTTACCATCAGTACCTAGACACTTCTGATTACGAAGAGCTACTGCTTGAGCAACGGTGACCAAAGTGTCCACTTAGATACATTTTTTTTGTGGCACCCCTAGTATATATGGTGATGGATGTTAACTAGACTTATTGTGATTATTTCACAATACTATCCCAATAAAGTGAATGGTGATCTTTTTGCTGGTAGAGAGGGTCGTGCCTTCAATTTGTAAAAAACACAACATCTGTGACGAGCAATAAAGGGAGGTATTCCTGTATAATCAAATAGCGAATCATTACGTTGCACACCTGAAACTAATATGATATTGTATGTCAATTACACCTCAATTTAAAAATATAGGCCGGCCAAGTGGCTCAGTTGGTTAAGAGCTCGCTCAAGAGTGTGAGCTCTGAGCAACAGCGGTTCGATTGCTGGCCCTAGCTGAGCAGCCGCTGAGCTGCCAACAGGTGGCAGGATGGCTCAGCTCAAAAAAAAGGTATACCTCAATTTAAAAATATAAAGACACAATGCTGAATGTCAATCAAGCCAAAAGTTGGTTCTTTAGAAAGCCGGAAATAATTGATAAACTTCAGAGTAACTAAGAAAAAGATCATATACTAATAATTGAAGTCAGGAATAAAATAGGGCCTTCACTGCTCTATCGCTGCCAAAAATACACACCATGAACCTAATCATGAAGAAACCAAATCGTCAGACTAAACTGAGGGACAGTCGACAAAATAATCGGCCTGGACGCTTCAAAATGCCAATGTCATTACAAACACATTCAGTCTGAGAAACTGTCTTCCAGTGAAAGAGGCAGACCTCTCAACTAAATACAACACGTGATCCTGGACCTTGAAAACATTGCTGTGAAAGACATTGAGACAACTGGCATATTGTCAGTGAGGTCTGTAGACCGTTTACCATGGGTAAGCTTCCCGATTTGGTAACTCCTGTTGTTGTGTCACCGCCCTTGTTCTTAAGGAAATACACACTGGACGCAAAGCAACAGGATGCCTGCCACCTATTCAAATATTTCAGGTTCAGATGGACCCAGGGGCATTTAGTTCTAGCTGGAGGAGCCTCAACTAACAGAAGCCTGCTCCCCGTCAAAGCCAAGGGTTTCTCTTGACTTTCTCCTGCCAGGGGCAGACTTCCAACCCAAGCACTCCTTGAAGTACTTGAGTACACAGGCCCTTGGCCCAGAGCCTGGAGCCCTTTAGCTGTCAAATGGAGGACAACCTGGCCCAAGGCAGTGAGGTTCTTTGCAGGCGTCTGAGCAAGGCCCATCTGAGAAGCAGGAACCCAGCTGGGACTGCCACTTGAAAAACAGGCCTGTTGCTTGGCCTGGGCACACTCCCCGGCACCCAGCCATTTGCCCTGAAGGAACAGAGTGGCTCTACCAGGCTGCCGTTGGCCCTTCAAGGCCCAGGTGCTTTGCAGCAGGTAAGACAGGTGAGCCTGAAAACCAAGCCCTGAGGGACCGGGGCTCTGAGCAGAGAGAGCTGGGTTCCCAGCCTGGCTGTCCCCACCTGAGACTAAAGGTTCCCCTCTGAGACTCAAAGTCCCCTACCCCTCTACATTACCCAGAGGAATGGCCCAAAGACAACTTCAACCACGTGTCTGTTCCCTCACCTTCCTGTGGGCCAGGAGGGGTCGTGGAGCCACCTGAACACCCCCGCTCTGCTGTTCATGGGGGTCAGTGACTCCGAGAGTGACAGACCTTCATTTGCCCCCAGGTGGGGTGGGTCAAACTTGGCTGCTCCTGGGGAGAAGGCCTGAAATCCACCAGGCTCCCTAAACGTTGGCTTGTATCTGATCTTAGGGGGGGATTAGGGGCCCCCAGGAGCCACACTAACAGAGGGTGTCAGTGAGGTGCTTACCTGGAGCAGGAGGGGGTACCGTTCACCCAGCCTTCGGCCTGCGGCCCTGGAGCTGCTGACCGCCAGAGCTGGGAGGGAAGCTGATTCTAATAGTGGCGGCGTCTCTTGGCTGAAGGGCCTCACCTGTGTGCCCCGCCCCGCCCCGCCCCGCCCCGCCCACATGTGGTGGAAATCAGTCACAATTAGCAGGAGTAACACCTCTCCACCCTGCGAGGCCCTCGGCCCTCCATGCTCCCCTCCAGGACACCCAATGCCACGTGGTGGCCACAGGTACACAGGTAAGCCAGAGCGAGGCTCTCCCTTGGAGTGGGCGCCTCGAGGCTGCTTCCTTGGAGGTGAGGGCAACGCCAGTCCGGCACATGAATCCACACGCTGCGATGGCCCGCATTGTCCAGTGCCCACTTAATGGTGGCTCCAAATGGGTCATCTTTTGACCTCTACTATCCAGAGGCCTCACAGCAATGACAGGTCAGCTTCCCTGTCCTTCCTGCTCTGCAGAGGGCTGTCCCTATCTCCTTTAAAATCTCTTTGCTTTTTATCCTTTTTTGTTTTCTCTTTCAGCAGCTTCGCTCACCTCATTGGGCCACAGTGACTATAAGCGTGGGCTCCGACTCCAGGCACCTTGGCCCAAAGCCAGCCCTCTTGGCATCAGGGCCCTCTGCCTAGCAGGCTCCGTGCTGGCCCACTGTGAGAACTCAAGTAGTAAGCAAAAAGGATGCTTTAAAAGTCTCCATTTCCTCACACCAGGCCCTCTACAGCTTTGCCCCTTCCGCCTCCCCCACCTTGCCCCACCCAGCTGGCGTCTTCCTCCAGCTTGGAGGCGCTGTGGTCACTGTCCCAGGTCCACTGGACCCAGCTCCTCCTGCTGAAGGTGCCAGGACAGAGACAAACCCTCCCTACAGTCAGCCACACACACACGCACGCACGCACGCACACACACACTCGGCCTTACACACACACACCCCTCCCTACAGTCAGCCTTACACGCACACTCTCTCTCACAGGGTGGGGTTTGTCAGTAAGCCGACTGAAGGACAATCTTCCCTCCCCAGCAGCACTCAGGCAAGGACACAAGACTGGGGGACAGTAGGCTTTATTACTTCCAGTCAGTGCCTGCATTTGACTGTCCCAAAGCGCAAATCAGACCACCCACCTGTACTCATTTGTACTTGACAAAGAACAGGTTAATGGTGCTCCTAATAATGACCCAGCCCCACAGCCTTCCCAAGACAGCCCTGGGGGCTGAGAGAGCACAAGTGCCGCTACTCTGAGGCCTGATCAATCCGGCCCCAACCGGCTCCTCCTCCTGACCCCTCACCTGGTGGGGTGGGGGGGTGTGTGCAAAGAGCAGACACTGCCCAAACCTAGTTGCACCTGGTCTTCTGCTGAGCACCAGGACCCACAGAAACAGAACAGGGAGCCTCACAGTGGTAACCTAGCCCTTCCCATGGCCCTGCCGTCAGGAGGCCACGTCCCCTCGGATGAAGAAAATAAGGCACGGCCGTGAAGGGGGAGCAAAGGCAAGGAACTGGGCTGAAGATGGGTGTCCTCAGACACAGGTCACAGCCCCCTCACTTTTCCCTTCTCTGAGACTTGCGCCAGGCATTTTGGTCTGGTGTAGGCAGAGGTGAAGGCGGCAGGAAAACCACTTCCAACCAGTTTATACTGGAAGGGCCGGGGCCGGGGTGGCCCTGGCAAGAGGAGGCTTGGCCTCTGCCTGTCCCACGGTCTTTGGGAGTCAGAGTCATGGCCACGTGGCTCCCCTCCCTTTCCCAAGGTCCTCAGGCCAGCCTGGCTCCGGGTAGGGCAGCGGTCAGCCCTGCGCGGGAGTTCAGCTCCGGTAGCTCTTGAGCAGGTGCCCGGCGATGACCAGCCTCTGGATCTCACTGGTGCCTTCATAAATCTCGGTGATGCGGGCATCACGGTAGTGCCGCTCGGCCGGCATCTCTGTCACGTAGCCCATGCCACCCAGGATCTGAATGGCCTAAGGTGGAAAGCAGGGGCTCAGTAAGGAGGAGACCCCTCTGTTGTGGGGAAAGACAGGGGCAGGATCAGCCTCACAGAAGGACCAGCTGGGGGAGGGACAGCTGGCACACAGTGGGCTATGCAACCCCTGGAGCCTCACCAGGAAGCACTTCCAGGCGTGGGGGAGGAGGAGGAGGTGGGGGACACGGACAGATGGATGGACGGGACTCACCTGGTGGCTGATGGCAGTTGCGGCCTCCGATGCAGCCAACTTGGCCATCGCTGCCTCCTAACCACAGGAGGGGGGGGGGGGTCAGAAACTTTACCTTGCGGGGAGCCCCCAGCACATGGCCCCTCAGCAGGGGAGGGCCTGGTGAGGCTTCCCCTTGAAGCGACAGGCCCACAGGCCTGAATAACTGGAGCCCCACGCAGCCCCTCCGCCCACCAAAGGCCAATGCCCGGGGAGACCCCTTCCCCACAGGCACCTTGGTGAACGGCTTCTTATTATCCTTCAGCATGGCAGCGCGCCAGGTCAGCAGCCGGGCACTCTCCAGGGCCAGGGCCATGTCCGCCAGCTTGAACTGCAACAACCAGGCCCCAGCCCACTGGTCAGCAGTTGCCCCTCCCCCCTTCCCTCCCTCCAAGGACCGGAGGGTCGACAAGGGTGACCACGGAGCAGGCGGAAGCCTGTCTGCCTGAGCTGCCCCCCCTCCAGCATCCAGGCTGGGCTCCTGAAGCCTCCGCCTCCTTACCTGGATGCCCTGGAGCTTGGTGAGGGGCCCCCCAAAGGCCCTGCGATTCTCGGCGTAGTTCACAGCACAGTCAAGGGCAGCCTGGGCGATGCCCAGAGCCTGGGAGGCGATGCCAATACGGCCCATGTCCAGGGTTTGCTGTGGGGACCACCCCAGTCAGTGGCTGGCCAGCTGGGCCCCAGGGCCGCCCACCCCCACTGCCGGGCTCACCATGGCTATCTTGAAGCCCATCCCTGGCTCCCCCAGCAGGTTGTCCTTGGGGATGCGACAGTCCTCAAAGATGAGGTTGGCCGTGGAGGAGGCCCGGATGCCCAGCTTGTCTTCCTTCTTCCCCAACGTGAGCCCGGGCGTTGGCATGGGAACCAGGAAGGCACTGATGCCCTGAAAGGCACACAAACCCAGTCAGTGACTTTCCCAGAGGCTGCCCTAGGCCACGCCCCTTACACCACACCAGACACAAACTCCAGTCCCTTCCCTGCACCTCCCTCAGGACCTTGGGCAGCGCCGCCCTCTGCTGGCTCCTCTGGGGAAGGTGCAGACTCCCGCCCCAGGCCGCGGGCAGGCCAAGGAGGAAAAGGGCCAGTCCCAAGGTGCTCCCGAGCAGAAACAGATCCACCAGGCCAAGGGGATTCGGATCTAGAAACTACGAAATGACTGCAGCCCGGAGGTCTCATGGGCCCTCTCTCTGGGGTCCCCACCTTGTTTTGCAAGGATCTGTCGGTGCTGGCAAAGACCACGGTGGCTGAGGCCTCCCAGCAATTGGTGATCCAGGCTTTGGTGCCATTCAGGACCCATGAGTCACCCTCTGCCCGGGCAGTGGTGGAGGCGGCTCCCGCGTCGCTGCCATTCCCTGTTCCACACAGACTCAGAATTCACCTTCACATTACCACCCCCACGCCCGCAAGGGCACTGCTGCCAACTCAGCAGGAAGCCCAGCCTCATCCCCCAGCTGGTGAGCATGACCAGGCTCCAAAGAGTCAGGGTCCAGGCCCCGGGAGAAAGTTCCAGGGTTGTGCCAACTCCCAGAGCTTTCAGAGCAAAGCAGGGCGTGCAGCAGCTGGGCAGCTTCGGGCCAAAGGGACCCGAGAGCTAAGCGTCCCTCCCAGCTCGGCTGAAGCCACCATGTCTTCCTCGGCAGATCCCAGGCAGCCAGAGCCCAAGCCCCAGCGGCTCACACTGAAAGCCCAGAAGCAACAAGCAACTGACCCAAGTCAGCACAGGCCCCCCAGTTCCCTGCCTCTCCTCGGGGCAGCCCAGCTCCAGTCTTAGCCTGTCACCCTGATTCTGAGGTGAGGGGGTGGGGAGACCGCTGACCCACTGTGGTACCTGGTTCACTGAGGGCAAAGCAGCCGATTTTGTCACCCTTGGTGAAAGGCTTGATCCACTGCTGCTTCTGCTCCTTGGAGCCAAACTTCAGGATGGGCCCCAAGTAGAGGGACTGTGGGGACAGAGGGGAGGAGTCAGGGGCCTTCAAGCCCAGGCCACACCTGCCTGCCCGCAGACCCCACCCCAAGGCCTGTTCTCTCCAGAGCTCTACCTGAAGGGCCAAGTCCAGAGGAGGTCAGGGGCTGGGAGCTAAGGCCTGGCTATGCCCCGTATGTTGGGACACATTGCCGAGTGCCTGCCCACCCACAGGAGCCTCCCCTCCACCTGTGTCCCAGGGGCCCAGGACGGGGACTCACATTGTTGACACTCATGATGACTCCGGTGGAGGCACAGCCCCGGCTGATCTCCTCCATCGCGATGGCATAGGCCAGGTAATCGAGGCCAGCACCATTCAACTCCTCTGGCACATCCATGGCCAGAAGCCCAAGCTCGCCCATCTTCTTCACCTGGCCGCAGGGAAGGATGTCACAACAGCAGCTGGGAGCCAACACCTACCCTCCCCAGCCCCAAACCCTCCTGCCCCTGACCAGTGTCTACAAAGACTCGGTTCCTCTAGCCCCACCCACCCGCACGCACCATGATCCCCGAGTCCAGACGCTGAAGACCCAGCCTCAGCTGAGGTGTGCGCGACAGCACCATTCATTCAGGCCGTCCTGCCCCAACACTTGACACTGGCTCACCTCTGTCCACAGCCACAACCAGAAGGCACAGGAAGCCTTCAGGGGCCTCGAGGTAAGAAGGTAGTGCCACACTGACCTTCTTTCAGGCGCTTAAGCACACCACACACATCCCCCCTACCACCACAGGGCCTTTGCACATGCCATTTCCTGTCAGCAATGCCCTTTATCAACTAGGTATTATTTCCTCCTCCCCTTCGGATCTCAGCTCAAGCATCGCTTCTGGGGGCTGCCACCTCTGCCCTCACAAAGTCAAATCCTGTGATCACACACGCCTGCAGCACCTGTGCCTCTCCTCTAAGTGCTTATGCAGCGGGAATGTCTCACCTACTACTGTGCTCGTTTTGATTGAGGTCTTTCTCCCCGAACATGAGGGCAAAGACTGTGTGTTTTTTGCTCACTGCTATGTTCCCAGTGAGGGAATGAATGAATGGTAAGAGCTTGGGATTTCTGATTTGGAATAACAGTAATAGTAATGGAGAATTACCAAGTGCTTACGATATGCTATGCTCTGAGCAGGTGCTTTGTGTGTGCTCTTTCGTTTGAGTTGCGCTATGAGAACGATGCTCTGAGTCAACCTTTTCTCACAGGTGGGGAAACCGGAGCTCAGAGCTTATCAGGGGTGCGGCTGGGGTTGAAACCAGGCACTGACTTCTGGATTTTAACCAGCTCAGCCCTTCTGAATTAGGACCAATTCCTTAACCTCTGTAAATCTGCTTTCCACCTGAGAAATGTGGCCAACAGAACCAACCTAGCCTCGAGAAGAAAGAACTAAAACCAACTACCTCTGGGGAGCAGGGCCGGGGGGAGAGGGGGCCAATGGTTTTCATCAGCCCTTTAAAATCGTTTGATTCCAGCAAACATGTTCTTATACTATTTTAACTTAAAAGAAGCAGCTAGTAAGAATGTTTCCAATATTTTCTCTAATTAATATTACTTCTGTGATTAAAAAAGTTTTATACCCTTTCCCTACCTACCTCATAGAATGAAGGACTGAGACAACACAGATAAAACGCTGAGCCCAGTGCCTGGCACAAGCTGAGTGATCAGTTAATGGCACTTATTAGCATTAAGTGGCTGACAAGTTCTTATCTGGACAAGAACGTATGGGAGAAAGGTGATGCCCGTGAACCTGCAGCGCTTCCGTTATGAGTCGTGTGCCCCTCTAGGAAACTGCTTGTGAAATTCGGCCTTGAATTGTTCCCATGGGAAACTGTCTCATAAGACTCTACGCTTTAGGTCTGGGCCTTACCTCAGGGTCTCCCGCGCGTAACACAAATGGGGACAGAGTGTCTGCCGAGTGGCACTGAGCGACTGACCCCCCAGTGCTGATCAAGCTCCACAGCCCCCAAGGCCGACACTGGGCTGCAGTCGGAGGGGAAGGAGACAGCCAGCAGGTGGGAGGCAAGATGAAAGCCCCCCAAAGATGTCTGTGTCCTGATCCCCGGGACCTGTGAATGTGTCTGCTCAAGAGGCCAAAGGGACTTTGCAGATGACATTAACGACTTGACATGTGAGGATTACCCTGGATTAGCCAGGTGGCCCAATGTCATCACATTCTGAGGGAGACAGGAAAGTCAGAGAGAAAAAGATGTGATGATGGAAGCAGAGGTCAGAGTGGCATGAACGCTGGATGGAAGGGGGTCACGAGCCAAGGAATGCTGGCAGCTTCTAGAAGCCGGACACGGATGGTCCCCAGCACCTCCAGAGGGAACACAGCCCTGCCGACACCTTGATTCCAGCTCAGCAAGACCCACTAGGGATTTCTGACCTCCAGGAACTGTCAGATAACCTGTACTTGTTTGAAGCCAATGAGTCTGTGGTAATTTGTTACGACAGCCGGAAGAAACAAGTACACGGTGCTACAAGGAACTCCGGGCTGCCAGGGAGGTGCCATTTTGAGAACCACTAAGAAGATAAACATTTTGTGGTCACCACGCACCTGGAAGAAGCGGTGATCCCGCTAAGAAATGCTGTGTCACCTCAGCGGGCAGGAAACTACTGGGGGCTGGGACAGTTTATGCAGCACTGTGCTCCGAATGGGATCTGGGGACTCGCAGAGTCCTGTGCCAGCATGAGCGTGGCCTTGCAACAGAGCCCCTTTGGAACCCAAGCTTAGGGCACCTAACAAACCCATTCCAGGGTGAAAGCAGAGTTTTAATAGAGAATACCAGGGTTGGGTTAGGAGCCTAGGCCATAGTCTCGCAGGTGCTAGAAATACGCAGGTCTCCCAAGATTCATCCTCAGGCCTTGCCAGGACCGCACTGAAAGCCTTTCTCTGGCCTACCAGCAAAACACACAGGGCCAAAAAACCCCTCCAACTATTTCACCCTACAAATGCCATCGGACTTCCCTGGACGCTGAGATACACCCTCCTCTTCATCCTATCGCTCTTCAGTAACCAACCCTGGTATACACGACGGATTCGTCGATCGCCCCATGGCTCCATTTCATCCCAAGAAACAAAAAGGGAACGAAAATTCCCAGGCAGAGTGTGGGCAGAACAAGGCTGACCCATCTTCCTTCTGCAGGTGCGGGAACTCACGTGGAGATGGTGCTACTGCCGGGGCCCACTGACTCAGGCCAAGTCTAGGCCACAAGGAAGCCCAAAGTCTTGGCACTCTCCTCTCCAGAGGGGGACCCCCAGAGGGGGACACCATTTGCCTCTGGCTCTCTTGATAGTTCTCTCTGTGCTACAATAAAAAGCTGCAGTTCACGAGTACTTCCCCCTTCTCCTCCGTCTTCCTCGTCACCAGTGTTTTCTTTTAAAACATCTACCTCGATCAGTGACCGGGACAGCATTTCCACTCACGATCACTCTGGAGCTTGGCCAGCAAATTTAAATAGATGGGGTGCCGCTCTCAAATACAGGGGCTGGTCTGCGCGAGCCCCAACTTGTCCCTCCCTCCCTGAGCTTATATATTAATTAATACAATCAAGGCTCATCCAAGTCCATCAGTGATGACTGGGGCTGTTTCTCTCAACCTTTCTCATTCTGAAACAGGTCTCTATCGATTTCTGGCATGGGCAGCCACAGGACCATTCTAGAAGAAAACTGGAGACAGAAGCAATAATAGAGGCAAAGTATACACTCTGAAGTGTATCCTGCAGCGAGGGAAAGAAAAAGGGTGGCAGTGGAGAGAAGAGACAATATAATCAAAAAGAAGGGAAAAAAATAATGCGTGTCCAGTTGAATAAATAATTTCTGATCTAAGCACGCTGATGGTAACTGGCTAGTAACAACAGCCAGGCTCCCTAATATTTTAGCAGAGAGGCCTGACCTTAACAGCTAGCTCAAGGGGCGCTTCTTAGAGCTACCATAGTGGTCCCTTGGTCCCTTGTGTCTGTGAAGCAAGAACCCAGACTTGCATTTTTTTTTTAATTGGGGAATAGTGTGTCTTTCCAGGACCCATCAGCTCCAAGTCAAGTAGTTGTTTCAATCTAGTTGTGGAGGGCGCAGCTCAGTGACCCATGTGGGGATCGAACTGGCAACCTTGGTGTTGTGAGCACTGTGCTCTAACCACCTGAGTTAACCGGCCGCCCCAGACTTACATCTTAAAAAAAGGCAACTTCACTGACTAGGCCAAGCCTAGGAATCTCCAATCTCCCAAGAGAAAATGTGAGAAAGGGCAAGACCCCTTTCCTTGCTGAGCCCAACAGCACCTACCACCTTCATATTTGAGAAATGTTTAGAGGTCCTTCATATAAAAACAATGCTTTAAGTCACTTCTAAAGCTCAGATTTAAAACAAAAAATCAAATCAGGAGCATTTTCTCCATCCGTTGAGATTTTGCTGTCCGTTTGGCTCAAAGAAACTCATAAAAATTCAAAAGTATAAAAACAAATCTATTCTGAGTAGGCCTATGCTCACTAGAGTCAAACTAACCCCCTTTTTAAAGAAGACCATTTCTTGCCATGTTGAAGATCTGCTTCTCAGTCAGGGAAAGAGGCCCCGTGAGCCACCTCCTCTAGTCCCCGCTTTGTGCCGGAGCGTGTGCTGTATGCTGGGATGATAAGGACATTCCGGATGACTTGATGGGTGGACCATCTGGTTCAATTCAATAAAATCCAGCAAACATTTATTAAATGTCAAGCACTTCCTGGGTGCCAGGTGACATGTTGGACAGGGAGATGCGAGAATGAACAAGACCCAGTCCCTGCCTCCAGGAAATGACAGTTTGAAGTATTAGGCTGGTACAAAAGTCATTGCCATTATTTGTAATGGCAAAAACCGTAATTACTTTTGCACCAACCTAATAACTGTGCTATAAGACGGATACAATACTGCGTGCGCTAAGCACAACTAGAGAATTAGGGACTGTGGATGGAAAGAATGCTCCTGGAAACACAGAGAGATGAACTCTGGTGGGGAGAAATGAGAGGAAATGGCATTCAGGAGACATTTCCAGACTGGAATTAACAAGGGTCAGAGGATATGAAGAAGAAAAATGGGGTAGGCCACTAGGCGTTTCTATGTGGCCAACTACGTCAGTGTTAGCACCATCACCTGCGGTAGGGCAAGAGGGGAGAAGAGCAGGTTTTGTACTTGATATAGTAAAGTTATGCAATACATAGTCCCTGAGTGAAAAAGACAGTGGGTTCCGTTTGTTTGTTTTTTTAAGATTTTTACTGGGGAATTGGGTGAGGGAACAGTGCTAGGGAATTGGGGGGAAGGGGAACAGACAAGTTGCTGTCCTTTTGTTCTTCAGTCTAGTTGTGGAGGATGTTGCTTCACTGGCCCAAGTTGGCACCGTCATTG